AGGTTTGTCGAGGAAAAATATAAATATTAATTTGGCGCGTTGCGACGCGCGGTCAAATTTTGGCGCCGTTGCCGGGGAGTAGTGTTATTGAATTGTGATTTGTAAGTACTAATTGAATTATTATTATTTTTTTAGGATTTTATTTTTATCATCTTTTACCTCTCTATTTTCTTTGTTTTTATTTTTCTTGCAGAATACTGGGCGCCCCCATACTACCGGACAGACCCCAATACTCGCGAGAATAACTTGTCTTTGGGCGATTTTGATCGAGTTTGGCGCAATTTTTCGAGATGGCAGCCTATTATCACGACTTTTATACCCACCAGACACCTTACCAATATGAGAGGGAGATGCGAGGCCCGTGGATTGGAGATCGAGACGTAAGAGAACCTAGTGGTTGGCAAAGAAACGAGCAAGACTACTTCTATACCGATGAGTATGGATACCACTTGAGAGAGCACTCGAACTCTTTCTATGAGTACTCCGAGCCACCAATTGATCCCAGCCCGTCTGTGGAGGATATGGTAGAGGCATTCAGGTTAAACACGTTGAGATTTCAACAAGAGTTTTGCGAGTCATTAGTTGAGAGGGATCCTGGTCCGTCGATCGAGGAGATGATGATGGAGTTGACGGCTCACACCCTTAACTTTCAGCAAAGCATTGAGGCAAGCATCAAGAGCCAAGAGGCGAGCATCAACAACCAAGGCTTGCGAATAAAGAATTTACAAGGGAAAATGAGCCAATTGGCGGAACAAATGGACCGACTAGTGTGTCGGATCGAAACGATTCCAATGAGTTCAAGCGTCACCCATTCGTGCAGCAAGGACCCCGAAGAGCCTGAAGAATGCACATACGAAGTGGAGAACGAAAAAATCACGAATATAGAGAAAGCAGAGTCGCAGCAGCAAAATACTGGGGTACCCCGTACTCGACTTGCTGGACCCAGTACTCGACCTGCTGGAGCCGAAAAGAGAACCGTTCTCCCCGCTCTTGTGCCGATAGAAGCTGAACCTTGTCTTGTCTCTTCCAATATGAAGTGGGTACTGAGTAAAGATGCACTGAAGCATGTCATGAGCCTTAATATCCAGCCTATTGAGATGATCGAGCAGAACGAAAGGTGCAAGTGGGAGTTTGATGAGACGTTGGCCGTGATTGAGCGTGGGTTGCTATACATTTTTGAGGGACCAGCTCCATGGAGAAAAGATCCGGTGAAGCATCCAACATCGGAGAGTGAGAATTTCGAAGAGCATGGGGCCGTGAGATTTGTGGCTCCCTTGAGGCCACCTCGGAAGCCACCATGGATCCTTTGATGAGAAGGAGCAATAAGTCGGGCCAACGACAATAAAAAGAGGCGCTTGTTGGGAGGCAACCCAATAGTGTGCATGGTTCGGTGACTTCTTCCGCATTGACTAAGGTGAACTCGTTTCTTTTACCTCTATTTTTTGTGATTATGAGTGTCACTGATATATGCAAACTCTAAGTTTGGGGAGGTGGTTTCTTGGTGAGCATTCATGTTTATTATGTGATTATATTTTTGCCTCTTAGAGTTTGAGTTTTAGATTTATTGCATGATATATGTTAGTATTGTGTGTGCATGAGATTGCATTTACGTGGAATTTCGCGATG